CAGTGTGGGAGAATCATACGGTATAGGTTGCTATTTCCTAAAGTCAACAGCTGGGATGTGTGTTGGTTTTAACAGTAACCAATACCTCTTCTTAAGCTTCAGCCAGATTTAGCTTTATATTTTGCAGAAGTGGCAACAGAGCAACTAACATTACCTCCACCTGCTACTAGCAAAGGCTTGATAAGGCTTGATAGTGAGATAGGAGGTAAGGGTGAGCACAGTCACCATATACATAAGCCAAGTATTACATAACTGACACTTGACACCATCCAGAGATCATGCAGTAAGAAACAAACTATCTGGAAAATGGACTGCCAAGCCAACTGGTTTAATTAAAAATAGGAAAAAAAAACACAATACAGTCTATCAAAAGACATAACTAAAATAAAGACAACCATTCCACATACAGCCACTTGCTCTAGGCACATTTTGCTTTTACTTTATTTGATGCATAGTGAACATTCTCACAAACAACATGTCATATTTTATGCCATGTTAGGAAAATTACATTGCCTTTTGTGTTACGTACCTTATCAGACTGAGTGGACAAAAGTGTTCAGAGCCAAAGTGAGAGACCAGCTCTACCTAAAAGTGCAAAAAGATTCAGATATTAGCGTGTGCTGTGTCATACCCAGTCAAATCGATGCTTGAAGCAGTCCCTGTGTTATTTTTGAAGAGCAAAGCGTGATTATGTTTTGTTGTAAAATCAATACAGTGAGTGAAACACAAACAGACTGATTGGCAGTGAGTTACTGAGTAAGAAATACAGATGGGTGACAGTTAAAGGAAAATCTGAATGAGTGGAAATATAAAAATGGAGGTTACTGATTAATCTGTCCATTACATTCTTGATCATTTATCTTTTTTGTATTCATCTTAATTTGTCACCCATCTGTATTTGATAAGTTAGATCATCTGACAGAATATGCTTGATTGTTTCATCGACAGCTGGTGGGTTTGTTTCATAGGTCATCAAATGTTTATTATTTGCAATATGAATGTATTGAGTTTTCTTTGAAGCAATGTTTTCCATTCAATTCACTCAGGCACATAAGAAAGAGCACTTCAAGAAAGCATGCCAACCTTTAAGTACTTGGTGAACATCTGAAGCAAGAAAAAGAGAAAGAGGAGGAGAAATTAAAGAGATTTATACAGTACATGCATTCAAAACATGACCAAATAGGACGTTTGTTTTATCTGGGTTACTTCAGAGACAAAATGAGGTCATCGTCTCTGCGATTCAAACATCTATAACAGAAAAACCCTTTCCATTTACATGTCAGACGCTCTGCTGGTGTGTTGATCCAGAACTACTGTATGTACTATAGTATAACACTAAAATTAACTTTTGGATAGCCAACATAACTGACTTTAAGCAACCACAACTATTACATGTGGATGTCAAGACCTTCTACAATACAATTTTATCATAGTCATTCTACCAACCGAGGAATAATGTTGTGACTGTAAGGAAGAGTAGAAGAATGACAGTGACAGGAGGCTACAACGTCCATTCAAGGAGGAAATGTAGAGAATCAGCCCTGCTTGAGGCACATGTTAAATACAGAACTGCAGTAAGAGATTACATAAGATGGTTTCACACATGAACTCCAGACTATATCCACAAATCAGGTCCAGACTTTGTCCCGAGTTGTCCTTTCAACAAACATACTGTACTCACCTTCACATATTTTGCATAAAGATGCTCATCTAATGGGAAGCTCTGAACTGTGCGTTCATCCCGGGCATGAAAGGTTCCCAGCTTTAGCCACTTGTTTGTTGGGTATCTGCAGGTGTATGTTTACACAATACTTCAGTTACAGTGGTCAAGATGTTTGGGAGCTCATAATTACAGCTTGGTGATATTAACTGTAAATATTTCAGTATGTTAGTTTCTATTAAGAAACAATGCTCAGTTTTTTTTCTAAATAGAAAGACTTTACTTTTAGAAACAGATAATTAACCTTAATAAGCTGCTGACAGAAACTGTGTTTCACACCCACTTTACATGAACGTAAACCAGACACATTCCCATGCTGAATCAAATATTAGAGATGCACCAACTGCAATTTTATTTCTAAGAACTGCAACTGATATGTGACTTTCGGCTTTTCCCGTTTTAGGGGTCGCCACAGCGATTCGTCACACTGACGACTCGCATGTTGACATTTGGCATGTGTTTTACGCCGGATGCCCTTCCTGACGCAACCCTGACTCGAACCTGGGGCGCAGCAGCAAGAGCACCGCGCCTTAACCACTAGCCTACCAGGGACGGCTCACTGATAGCAAATACAAATATTTTTGTATCATTTCTTTAATGAAAAAATTATATTGGAATAAAAACAGGCCAAAGCATTGTATTAAATAATGACATTTTCTTTCTTTTCTCTCAGAAATCTCAAAATAAAAGTGCTCCAGGGTTCAGTACAATCCTCCTCTTATTTATTTTTACAAACCTCCAACCAATATTTGCAGCCTAGTTGTCCAAATGTAAAGAGGCGCAACAGGGAATAGAAACAAGGATGTTACATCAGTCCCACTGAAGACGCAGTCCTTTGTAAAGTGTGTGTAGTTTGCTGTGTTTCACCACAGACTGGATATACTGTACATATACACGGATTTCAAGTGTATCCAGTAATTCCCTCATTGTGTGCTATTTGTTGGGGTTTTGGACAGTAGTTTTCCCTTCTGGGGTTTCTGTAGGCTTTTTGTACAAGAAGCGCTTAAAATGAATGGGCGAACACACTTTGATATAAACACGAGTGTGAGCCTAGTGTAAGGTGCAGGGGGGACGCTACGTGCTGCACATGCTACGGTTGCCACTGTGTGCACCACGTGGACTGTAATGCATATAAATCTGACCAGCATAGAATCAGATATCTCAGAGTGATTGGCCGGTCGTGCTCATTGCAGATCAAGCTAAAAACCAGCCAATTCCGATCTCCAGCTGAGCGATTGGTGCATCTTCAACAAATATAGTGGCTCCAGTACATACCTATCACTGATGGAAACGAGAAAGTCTTTGGGAGTAGAAGAGAAGAGCTCAAAGTTAGCAATGTCCAGCTGCTTCACCTGGATGGGCTCACAGAGCTCAATGATAAACCTGAGTGAATACAAATAAAAAACTAAACTAAACAAAACTCTGGCTTCATATGAAGATGGATATCTGTTTTCTCTGGTTGCAAAACAAACAAAAACTTATGACATTCACACATACCAGATTTTATTACTACAGGGGTTCAGCATGTACAAGTCCATGTTCTCCTTCAATATGGCTGAAGTGCTCTGGAAGGAACAAATTGACAAATCAACATCATTTCCTATTTGTTATTACACCAACATCTAACAAGGTGCATTGAAAGTATTGTATGTACCTTAGCCTCTGGATTAGCGCCAAGTATCTTGGCTCCACACTCCACGGAGGCGTAGTTATTGAAGTTCTTCTGGACCTTCTTCACTGTTTGAGAACCTCCATTACTTGAGGTATGAGTAGACAGAGCTATGGAGAAACAAAACACAACAATGACTTGTAGTAAAGATGTAATGTTCAGGTAGTTTTATACAAAAATGGAATAGTTACTTTTTTTTTTTTTTTTTTACACATAACGGGCTAAAACAAATTTACAAGCTGGACAACACATAATCTTACTCTTCTCTTTCTCCACCTCCATCATTTTCTTCTTCCATTCATCGAAAGTGGGGATGTCCTCAGGGTCTTTGCTGCCCACACTGGTATCTGTGTCTGTGCTGACAGGGGAGCTCAGGTCCTGTCAAGGATAATAAGCAAATTCGAGCTAGGACGCATCCTCTGGTAGAGAGAGGATAATAGTTAATGTGGATACAAGTTTCCTTACAGTACCTGCTCTTTCAGCATGTGTGATGTGTTGGCCTCCAGACTCTGAGTGCTGTGAGCAGCCAGAGAACTCAGAGGACGGTCGGTGTGGGTTTGAGTCCCTGCAGTGTGAGGACTGCTGTGGGAACAAAACGTACTGTTGACTTGATACAGAGGGTCAGAGTTACTCTTGTCTTTTAAATAAAACGTCAGTCACATTCTGGGGTGGCCAAGCTCACACATAACAGCCCAAGCTAAATTGACAACAATGCAAGAAAAATGTTCTTTCGTTTTCCTAGGGTGCAAGATGAACCATATATACCTGTCACTGTCATACGAGATATTCTCTTCTTCTTCACAGTCTGCAGGAGGCTGGTCAGAATCAAGGGCCTCCTGTGCAGCTACACTGGATGCATCATCTGAAATGCTGAATTGGAAAAAAATCATTTTTAACATATTTTTGTGTAGTATTTTTATTTGCAGGGAAACAAGAAGCATTTTAGTGTTGTAAACCTAAACTATGTACAGTGCATTTGAAGCAAATCAAACATTTTCTATTGGCATTTTTATATACACCAATCAGGCATAACATTATGACCACCTGTATGCACTTCAATGTAACACTTCTGCCTTAATATTTGTGTTTATGTCCCTAATATTCTGACCTTCTCATCTATGTCAATGGGCAGGACAAAAATATACAGACACCTCTGAATGACCTCAACAATAAACATATAATTGAATGTATACATTTATGACAATCTCACCAAAAACTGAAACATTTTGAGCTTCATAAGCCCAAATGTTAAGGCAGAAGTGTTGCACAGAAGTGCATATGGAGATACAGGTGGTCATAATGTTATGCCTGATCGGTTTATACAGTAATGGAGTGATCAGCTGTAATAAAGCAAAAAAGAAATTCTTAACTGTCACACCTGAGATGATGAAATTACCTATTTAGGATATTGTCTTGAAGGCTCAGGATGCTGGGGTCGTCTTTAAGCTCAGCAGCTAAACCAGAGACATGGTCAGGAGATGGGAGCAAGGACGCCGAGTCCTGGTCTTGAGTGATGGAGGTTTCATGATGTGGATTTTCTGAGCTTGGCTCAGGTTCTGGCTCAGGTTGTGAAATTCTCTTGTCTACCTCCAACTCTACCTTTACAGTAGACTCCTCCACTTCAAATGCCTGACACAGAAACACAGAGCTATTTGAGCTGGCCAATTAGCCAGAATCAGACGGATCACCCAGCCACTTAATGTAATGTTCCAGAAACGATCAATAATAAGAACTGGATGGTTCGGTGTCTTTGATTGCTTATGAATCTTGCTGCTCAGGAGGACACGAAGTGGAAAAAAACCTTTAGAAACTTGAGGTTTTGAAAACAGGTTTTGAAATTATTATTCACATTCATTAAGATAAATCCCAGCATGGAATGCATTTGTAACAGTAAGATAGTTTTAGGGATAGTCCTGGTGACAGGTAAATCAAAAATGTCTCAAATCAAAGTTTTAATTGACATAAATGCAAGCACACAATGTATTTTCAAATAATAACTTCAAATTTGAAACTAATGACTATTATACCTCTGAATGTTCTTTTCTGTCCACCTCCTGCACCTCCTTTTGCTGATCACCCACTATAAGGGGCTCATTTTCAGACACTGATTGGGTAGGTAAAACCCAGCCTTCCTGAAATGAGAGAAAACACACACATAGGTTATGGACACCAATGGAGAGACAGATTACTCACAGAATCCAGACTATCTACTATCAGATTTATTTATTAGTGTATGTAGGGTGTCTTGCTAAAGCTAATTTGCAGTCACTGTCCCTGAAACTACAGACATTTTCTGCTGTGCAACTGCTGTTATTCATATAGCAAACTGTGCAAACCCTTGTACAGTGAGGTGGGTTGTAGTACAGTATTATACATCTGATGCTACCTGGTGCTGATCAGCCTTTTCCCCTGACTCTTCCTCCGAAACGACGTCCTGTGAGGACACGGGCCTCTGGGCCTCTTGGTGCGACTCCGTGCAACCAACATAGCAACTAGGGTACCTACAAAATAAAAAGAACTGCAGTCAGTGTCATAACTATGTCGATTCACTTAGTCTAAATATGGGTCACTTGGTATACATGAGGGAAAAATGTCCTGGCACATGGGAAGAAAAATCAGATTATAGGGATTAGAGGTGTTATAATCTCCTGAATCATGCAAGTTCATTATTTTATTTGACTGCAGTGAGTCATACACAGAAGAAGCTGCAGCCCAATGTCACAGTGTGATGCAGTGAGAGTCCAGGTGGCCTGTGCCCCTGTGTAGACTGTTTATCTTATCTGTATGCAGAGTCAGGTAATACTGTCAAAGTCAAGAGACACACCTGAAACAAGCTGTGACTTGCAATGTTATTTAAGGGTTATTTATATCTTAATACGTTATATTTTTGTCTTCTTATCTATTAATTGAAATCTACTGCTCTTCTTCAATAATATTTCCATCTATATTTTTTGTTCTACTGCTTAGTATGTGCATAAATATACTGAAACCCCATTCTTTTGTTTTAAACACCAGAATTCATTCATGATTTGATGCCAAAAAATCTCCCCTCCTGGCAGGAAAACTGTGATAATTAACAGCAACATTTTTTTTAATAACTGCAATAATAATGTTGTGTTCCTGTGGAGGAAAAGGTCCTCCTGCTGGCTTAAAGACCACACTCTCACAGCAACTGGAACTTGTCAAAGGTCCAGTCCTTTATGAGGATTTCATTCTGGTCGAAGCGTTACATGGCTACTGGCTGGTGCAGCCTTTTTGTTGATCTAACTTGACACAAACACTTCAGTGAACAACAGAACACTTGTTTTCTAATTGAAAGCCAGCAGCCACAATGTAAAACTCCCAAAGGAACAAGAGTGGTGTTAAGGCATGACTGGCTAAATAACAAACTCATTATAGACAAAAAAAAGCAGTTGCCTTGACATACTAAATGATAGGAAATGCTTAGATCTTAGCACAGATACAGTATATGGTAGATGCACTGTAACTGTTGTATTACAAATAAATAATGTTTTAGGTGTATCTTTTGTGAAATGTTTTTTTATGTGTTGCTAAGCCTAATGCTGTAAATGACATATTTAATTCTAAATCATCATGATATAGCTTTTTTTTTTCCTCAAATTATCTGAAAACACATCAGTGGTTAGAATGGACATGATGAGACTGTCTGTTATTGTTTATTCCAGCAATTTAATTACAGTATATGACAAATCAAGGTACTTATTCACTAAAATAATACAAATAAAACCACAAAAAGCCTGAGTTTTAGGAGGTTTGCTCCTGACTATCAGACATGCCTTTTCTCAGCATTCATTTAGACATAACAAGAAAAGTACAGGTGGCATTTATAAAATTAACAATGGTTCAGTTCCTCTTTTGATTGCACCAGTACAGTATGTACAATACCAGAGCCACGGAGCTGTTACACCTAAATCTAATGCCAAAATTAATTATACCACTTTATACTTTTCCTGCCATGACATGTCTGAATGCTGTGAGGTCGATTAACATCTCTCAACCAGCAAAATTCCACAAACTAGAATAGACATTTTACTGAAATGTGTCAACAGTATAGATACAGTGCCTTGCATAAGTATTACCTTATAAGTATATATAAGTATTACTATAACCCTTGAGCTTTTCCACATTTTGTCACATTACAACCACAAACTTAAATGTATTTTATTAGGATTTTATGTGATAGACCAACACAAAGTGGAAGGAAAATGATACGTGGTGTTCAGGATTTTTTACAAATAAAAATCTGAAGTGTGCTGTGCATATGTATTCAGCCCCCCTTGAGTCAATACTTTGTCAAACCACCTTTCACTGCAATTACAGCTGCAAGTCTTTTGAGGCATGTCTCTACCAGCTTTGCACATTTAGAGACTGCAATTTTTGCCCATTCTTCTATGGTTTCATCTGACCAGAGCACCTTCTTCCACATGTTTGCTGTGTCCCCTACATGGTTTGTGGCAAATTGCAAACAGGACTTCTTATTGCTTTCTTTCAACAATGGCTTTCTTCTTGCCACTCTTCCATAAAAGCCAGATTTGTGGAGTACAGGACTAATAGTTGTCCTGTGGACAGATTGTCCCACCTGAGCTGTGGATCTCTGCAGCTCCTCCAGAGTTACCATGGGCCTCTTGGTTGCTTCTCTGATTAATGCTCTCCTTGTCCAGCCCGTCAGTTTAGGTGGACGGCCATGTCTTGGTAGGTTTGCAGTGTTTGTTCACTAATGTTCTCTAACAAACCTCTGAGGCCTTCACAGAACAGCTGTATTTATACTGAGATTGAATTACACACAGGAGGACTCTATTTACTAATTAGGTGACTTCTGAAGGCTGTTGGTTGCACTGGATTTTATTTAGGGATATGAGAGTAAAGGGGGCTGAATACATATGCACGCCACCCTCTTCAGATTTGTATTTGTAAAAAAAATCCTGAACACCACGTATCATTTTTCTTCCACTTTGTGTTGGTCTATCACATAAAATCCCAATGAAGGCTACACTTTGTCAGCTACCGTCAGTACTTTAAGGATAGTCATACAGAAATAATACAAACTTATGTCGCCTGAATAAACTTATAATATTTAGCCAAACCATTAGGAAGTCCATGTCATGAGTTAGTGGACCGTATAATGTATGCTAGTAACTTACTAAGCGAGTAATTTAGAGACAACTTGTTTATTAATTAACATAAATAAAGAAATTTGTTAGATCAGCAGTCAGCAATTCGAGGTACAGTAACACTGACAACTCAGGAGTCAGCCAGGTGCCACATCACAACATAATACGTCAGCGAGCCAACACGCGTTTTAACCACGGTAACACCGGTCACTTCGGTAACGTTAGTTTTCACAGTTGGCACATTATTAAATAATAACATTATGATTAAATGGGACACATTAATGCTAACCTACTTACCAAGAGACTACAGCTAAGCACAGACATACTGATACAACTCGCCATAACAGTGGTGTCATCTTCATCCCTCTCCTGCCGGGACAGACATCCTCGCCGTACTCAGAAATAGCAATTTATTCCTTTCATTAGCGGCCTCTTCGGCTCTCCTATAACGTAAAGTCACCCGAGGTTTACTTGGCTAACATTAGCTGTTTCTTGGTTGACCTGTGATGCTAGTCACTGTCACCCACACGCAAACTACTACCGACGGCCAGTACGTGTCACCGTTCAACTATCCAACGAGAAGGCGCAGAGGCTGTTGCGTATTTCAAACTGAGTCTTTGGGAGCGCTCGTTTCATATACTCTGGTTGGCCGAGTAAGTGGAGCTTGTTCAACTGAAAACTTAAGCCGACTAAGACAGCCGTGTTCTGTCGTAGAAATGTTATAAGTGTTTTAATTACAATTCCTGTTGACAAAATAGCCCCATAATATGATTAATATGATGTATACATAAGTCACCGACAAGTGGTGTGTGTTGGGTGAATAACACGGAAGCCATGTCAAAAGCTAATATCCATACAAATAACTTTGACACAATAATTTGTAAACGAGTTAAATTTTGCAAATCATCATGTTACATGTTTGGTAGAAAAAAACTATCAGTCTTTATTTCAAAAGGAGGTGCTAAGAGATGTGCCACATGACCTGCTGTAATTTCGACTGCTGGGGTTCCCCTTTCACTTTTTAAAACAGCAAACAGTACAATGCATGTTTCTAATGAGGTCACTAGAGGGAGCCCAACTCTGCAATATTAACTCACAAGCTCACCTTCTGAGGACAATAGATGAAACATCACAATAATATCAAGGGCTAAATGATAGGGGGCATCGCCTCCATGAAGGGCTGTGCCCAAAAGACATATCCCCAGGTACTGTAACCACGGGGCATGTGAGCATGACAGTATATAATTTTGTCTGTTATACATTCTGTTAAATTAGTCAGTGTAAATGATTTTTTTTTCCTTGATTATGCTTAAAAATATATGCCAAAATGACAGTATGCCAAGTTTTTTAATTAATGAAATCATGTAACTGCACACAATTCAATTAGACCTCTGCTATCATCTTGTGGATGTCAGTGAAAAGGTGCTTTGATTCCTGAATAATCCAATTGGTTATATTGTATTTATCTATAGGTTCCTTTAGCCAGAAAAGATTTGATCCCCAGCATAATGAATACTCTAAGATATAAGATATATAAAGCATTTTGACTTTTTTAGTGTCACTTTATCTAGCTTTTATGTTGTTTGAGCTTGTAAGCCACATAGGCTGATCGAGAAAGCAAATGTAAGAATTCAGAATCTTTAAAGATATATTTAATGTCTGTTCTTTTCATGGTCATGTACATGTATTCATCTTCTTATTTCACTTCAACCTCTGCTTTTCAGTTTTACATTAGAGACACCATTTATTATATACATCTGTCTGTGAACAGAATTTGCTGTAAAATAACTAGTTCTTTGTGTCATCGGCCTGGTAGGCAAAGCACCCACTGAGAATTTTCTGATTTTGCTGTATCAATAAATACTGTAAGTATACATGTCATAGCACATTATTATTCTCACTTTTCAGTGAGAAGCACACATAAGTATACACACCATCCCCAAAACCCAGTGGCTTAGCCAATGGAGACTCTGTGGGACATTATGGGGAAGAAGTTTATTGAAGAGCAATACAGAGACACAGAAAATAACACCCGATGCATTTTCCCAGTTTAACATTATGTCCCCTGCTAAGCAATGCCACCTCACTACAACTGGAACCATTTAATTGTTAGTCTTGAGTAGATGTATTTCTCGGCTTTACATTTCTCTTTCTACATTTTGCTTTGGCAACACAGAATTGTAATTCATGCCAGTAAGGCAGTCTAAATTAGATAGAAGAGAGCGTTTAGTGGCTAGAGAGAGAGAGAGAACGATTAAAGCGCTAAGATCCTTGATGAGGTCTTTATAGTCCACAGGTACAGTATCTCTTTATCATTAACTATATACATCAGAACAGTTTGGGACTACATACACAATAACAAACTGACAGAGAAGCACTTGAACATTGACAACAGGCTACTACCTTAAGCTCTAATGCAGATGCTGACTGACCTCCTGGTTTCAATGATTGTGAGAAGGGGAAGTAAGCTAGAAGAGCTGAGAAATAAGATAGAGGGCTAATTTGTGATGTGCAAGGGGTTTCATGTTTCAAACCTGAGAAAAAGCCTAAGCGGAAATGTATAAAAGCATGCTCTTTGTTCATTTGTGGAAAAACTTACAAATGACTTTTACCATTTTAGGTAGTAACATTTTTCTTTTTCAAGCGGCACATTCAATCTCACCAATCAGCATCTGAATAGGAGCTTAAGGCTGCAAGGGTCACAACTTGACCATTGGTACAGCACAGGTGGACACCTATGACAAGGTTAAATGTTGTTGAGGCTGTTTCCATATAGATAATACTTAAGGTGCTCCTCAGCCTTGCTATGTGTGTATGGCTGCTACTACAACACAGGAACAACTCACAAAAGTCCAACATTAAATTTAGCCTGAAGGGTTTTATGAATCATCATTAATAGCTTTGATCATGAAAACAAATAAAACTGAATCACCAACAAACATGCAGACAGACAGCACATACACACTTGTCCTCCCCACACATTCATATACGCAGATTTATTTGCACACAAACCTGCACATACACACACACATACTGTACTAATATACAACTTCTGTTCCTAAGAGAACATTAAGCTGATAATTAACACTTACTGTAGAGGGGCAATATGCAATAAATTATTAACTCAAACTCAGCCTACATATAGGCAAATTAGTCCCCCACCCACCCACACCATATACATACGCACACACACACACACATACTCTACATACACACACTCCCATGCAATAATAGCAGCTTATGTGCCATGCTGCGTTTTGGATGACAGTACGACCGCTGAGCATATTTTCATGTAGAAGCAGCAAGTGGGAATAATGGCTAACTTGGGGAAGGGTTTGTGAGGGGGAAAGAGATTCCAGGGACTGAAACTGGGTAGTGGATCTGCTAAGCAAACCTGGAACACAGGCGAGCAACAAGCACACATACACATACACCACGAGACAAGTACCATACTGTACATAGATATATCAACATCGTCACCTAGCAGGAAAGTGAGGGTCAGAGGAGTTAAAGACAAAGGAGAGACCTGGACAGCAGAGCCATGGCTAAGAAAGGAGGGATGGGGTGGATGAGGGAGGGAGATAAGGGAATGAGGAACCCTCTTTGGATGTTTATGGTGGGACTTGTCTTGTAGGAGATGGAGGAGGCCGCCGGCTAAGGAAGAGAGTGAATAATGAGAAGTTAGCATAGTTTCAAAGAACAAGGAAGAGAAGAGAAGAGAAGAGAAGAGAGCAATCTTTAATATTGACATGAATTTAATAAATTCTGTTTATATTACAAATAGGATACAGAAAGAAAAATGAATGTATTTTCCTCTTCCTATTTTCACAACTTATTCTGGATAACAGCTCTCTCAAGTACCAATGCTACAACTGTCTTCAGTGTCTCAACACAACAGACAAGTTAAGCACGAAAACTGAGAAATATAAAGACATTTTGGGAAATACACGTATTTGTTTTCGTGCATCAAAGTTAAATAAGAAGAGTGATACTACCTTCAATGCCCTACTGTAGCAGCAGGTAGGCTTAGCACAGAGACTTTCCAACAGTTTTACCAACAGCTTTTAATGCTGTGTGTATAACCACATGTACTGTTGAAATTTTAGTCCCATGTTTACAATAAAATTAAAATTCTACACCACCTAAAACTAATCTGTGTTGATATTAAATGCTGAGATGATATCTAGCTTTCTTTTTTAGCTGTTGTTTGCTTGCTTTAGAAGCTGCAGCAGAGTTGATTTCATCTGATGATAGAAGTGTTTACTCCTGATCTAGTGACAGATATGAACCATCTGTTAAGAGCAGCTGAGATTTGATTCACAGCAGGCAAACTCGATGATGTACAGTGTAATGCTGTCACAAAAATGCACTCTGTGGTTTAGTTTTTCAATAATATTGTGATTTTTAATGAAATGTAAAAAGACAGAAGATGTTTTTGCTGTGCATCAATGGTTAATAGACAATTTTGTTTTCTAAGTGCTTCCACATTTCACTCAGAAACACTGATATACAGTATACAATACCCTAGGAAACCCAATGGGAAATTTCATTTTAAATTCCTGCTCTCATAAAACCATTTAAAAAGCATGCTTTGTGTCTTTCTGGTGGACAACATCTGTAAGGGCTGCACTCACCTGGGGATACTAGGAGGGGCCCTGTTTGGGCGGCTTGGAGCCTGAGGGCTGTCAGCACTGTTATTGAAGGGCCCCAGGGGTCCTGGGCGGTTTGGTGGTGGCGGGGCACCACGAGGAGTCGGTCGCTGGCCTGAAGACATCCTTCTGGGGGCAGTGGGGCTGGGAGGAGGAGACCTGAGGTGAAAGAATGTAGTACAGAATATTTTTTAGGGAACAAAGAACATAGTTAAAAATAGTAAAGGCTTTTGAAATTATTGTATTTTTTTTATTAAAAATGATCATAGTATGAATGTGTATAATCCTTTTAATTTGACTTTACCTGCGACCACCACTGGATCCTCCCACCCAGGATGTGTCGACAGGCGGAGGCAGGGGGACAGTGACAGTGGATGTGGAGATGTCACCAATGATGGCCAAGGCCTCCTTCAGGGCCTGGTGAGTCCTCAGCACCTCATCCCTCCTCTGGGCCTGCTCCTGAGACTCGTCCATCAGGGCGTTCTGGTCACCTGCAGAATACAGCTGGGCCAGTAGCTCTGCATTGATGAACTCCTTCACCTAGTGGTGTAGAGAGGAAGTGCAGGATGATGAATCATAAATGTGAGTGAAGAAAAAATTCAGGCATTCTGATGGTCACTCTTTCACACAGAGATTATCCACATACATTGGTGATCATGAGATGCATGATGGTCTTAGGGATAAGGTCCCGGATACACTTGTTGACAATAGCCATGTAGGAGTCCACCAGGTTCCGGATGGTTTCCACTTTACGCTCCAGCTGAGGGTCCATGGAGAAGTTATCTGTGGTGCTCGTGGTCTCACTCTCAACCTGTAGTGGAAGAAAGGAGAAATGTTTTTTTTGAGGAAGGCAAAGAGAATACAGGAATAAAAATATTGGGTGTGTTAGACGAATCTGACAGTTTAGTGTGGGGTGCTTATGATTTTAGTCAAATGACAGCATTTGCACTTTTATAAAGGGTAATAAGGCAAAATGCTACTGTATTAACCAATGTTAATTATATTTCTTTACAATATTGCCCCGTAAAATACACTAAAATCTGGAATGTTTCAAAGGTTGGAACACTAACTGGTAAAATTTAAATAATCATAATGCAGGACAGGGACATATTGTAATTAATACTCTAGGATCAGACAGAACAGGGGAACTAAAGCTAAAAAAAAACACAAAAGGAGTAAAGGACCAGCTACATGGAGAATATATAAGTTTCCTAACCGTAGTGGTCTTCTCAGGATAGACTCCAGCACGAAGGAGAGAAGATTTCCAGCTGTCCACATCATCCTGAGAGTCACATGCCAACTCCAGGGTTCGATTGTCCTTATACACGTTTCTGAACACAATGACACATGTATGAGTGGAAGTCACCAGAGCTAATATTTTACACAACCATGTGTCAAAAAATACTAAATACTAGGGAGTGTATTTTATGACACACAAATCCTTTTTCAGTTTTTTGGACCTTCATCACCTTTATTGCTATTCATTGTGAAATACTAGATGATTCAACCTGTGGACAATGCTCCCTATTGTTACGAAAAGTGTTCGACAAAAGAAATGAACTCTGCCATCTGGAAGTATTGACAGTCTATTAGATTGGGTGCCTCCTTCCATGTGGAATATTTTGCTGTTTAACCCTTTTTAGGTGTTCAGCACAGAGGTACATAATGGGTTGAAGGAACTAAGCTACATATAACTTTTTAGAGGACCTTCTGCACCAGGTACTGAAATATCAGGCATAATACTTTATATTTTAAACAGATTTACAGTGTTATGAGCAGGTTATGGTCCCAACAGGGCAATCAGATATTTGCTTTTCCTGTATTATTATCACCAACCCACTATTACAACATCAGCACCTTCAAGGACCCTGTTTTCTAATAATCTCACTGTAAAATGTCATTTTACACTCCTGATATGACAGACTTCACAAGCTGTGCTGCAGAGCTATTGAAAGTACTTCTAGCCAGCACTCACACACATATGTAGCCACATGTACTGTACTGTACATAGCATTTAATCTAGAACATAGTTCAGCTGCACCAGTACACAGGTCTTGAACACTAACTTCATCTGTTGCATGTGATTGCTATTAAGTCGTGCTTTATTTGCAGGCACATTAGCTGCAAATCTAAAAAGTAGAAACTTTCAGATCTCACAGCTGACCTTGATTCTGTATTGAAAATGCAGAATATGTGCTTGCTGGACATGAAACTCTTCTCCACATCGCGGACCTTCAGGTTGTCCAGTGGGAGCATGTACTTTTTCTCCTTCTCCTGTGAATGAGGAAAACAGAAGGTATGAATCACGAGCACTCTGATGACTAACAAAATTCTGTCCCTTTGTTTTTTTTTGCTTGTTTTTTTTATTCGTTCTACAATGATGCCGACACAAACAACAGCATTATATGGTTATGGTAAGAGAAAGGTGAAATTTTAAAGGGAGGGGTGTCAGTAGAGAGAGTAAGGGGTGACAGGAGAGAGGAGGAATGGGATAGAAATTAAAGTAAGACAAATGGGGGAGTGGGTGGAGAAGGGGAAGCAGAAAAAGAGAACAGGAGAAGAAAAGCACATGTGGAAGTCATTACAGCGTAGGTCAACACACTTCACGGTGCGTTTTGTCAGGGAGCGCTGGAAGCCGAAGGCTGAGGAAACTCTGGCTGTGGTAAAAATGGGGAAAATGTAGATATAAAAGAGCACTGGATATCCAGATAACATGCTGGTCAGATATAATGCTGGTCTTCTGAGGTACCAGCACATTCAGAGAAGCGCCGTGATGGATGCTTAGGATCAAATCAAATCAAATTTTATTTGTATAGCGCCAAATCACAACAAAAGTCATCTCAGGACACTTTACAAAGTGAGGTCTAGACCTTACTGTTATCAATATTATTATATAGGGAAAACCCAACAAATCCCCCTTGAGCAAGCACTTGGCGACAGTGGGGAGGAAAAACTCCCTTTAACGGAAGAAACCTCCGACAGACCCCGGCTCTTGGTGGGCGGCCTTCTGCCTCGACCGGTTGGGGTGAGTGGATAGAGGAGAGACAAAAGAAGAAAAGCAACAAGACACAACAATCAAACACTGATCAGGTCGATGTGGCTGGTGACTGCTCATCAGAGACGTAGAGCTCCAAGGCCAGGGCAACCTGCAGAAAGGTACAGGGAGAGAGAGAGAGGACACACTACGGGAGAGAGGGGGCACAAAGTGAGTAATGTGTAATGGTGGCATATAGAAGCATAGGGAGAGGAGAGGAGA